TTCTTTATATTTCTCTCAACAAGGTATATTCGACCCTCGTGCATCGTCAAAGTGCGTGAACTCGCTACACAATAAAGCGCTTTTCTTTTGTTTCCCTTACATATGCATGTTAGGCAGGTAGAACGTTAATTCGGACCGTAATCGTCGAGAACGGTTTTTCCTTCTACATTTATTTTCCTACCCTCGGGTTAAACGCGTCGGAACTTCATTTCAACACACACATACATAACACCCCTTCTCTATCTCCTTATGTAGGTACACATTATACACACACATCTTATACACTCTCCATTTCTGGAAACATTTACGCAAGCAAAGCTTTACACAATCAATTACGGTAACATCCGGCAACCGAATCGCTTGTAATTTTATAAAAAATACAACACTATTATAAGCACAATCGAAAGCGAGTTATTTTGATTAAAAAAAAGTTGTTAGCATGTATATGGCAAACGTTAAGGTTATTTCGGTTTTGATTCCAATTCAAATAAAATATAATATTATTATTATACATAAAGTTTCAGTTTAAAATCGAGGCCATGAATGTCAAATAATGTTTTAAGGTAGAACATATTGTATAAATAAGTGTCCTCTAAATCCTCCCTTCAATACAAATACAATACACAGATTCCAAATTTTTTAATTGTACTGATACCGGATTTCAAATCGGTTCTAAAAATGTATGAATATGAGATATTATGGTCATTCACTCTCTGTTCTATATAAAACAGCCACCTTTATGTGTCCAGGGTTATACGGTGTGAAATTTTGTGTTCAATTAAGTTTTTTTTACATGAAAGAGAAAACATGCAAATTATAAAAATTGATTGGGCCGAATAATTAAATTATTGACCAAACGACCAACGGCGTACATTTGGGTTTGCGCAGTTGTATTTATAAACGGAATCAATCGAAATAGCGGTTGAATAACAAAAAAAAAAAAAAGGAAAAAAGTTTGTTATATTTTTTGTTGTACTTTAAATTGAATTAATAGCGTAACAGTAATGATGGTGCGATGAAAGCGCGCGTGTGTGAAAGTGTACAACGGGTATCCTACAATAGAGATGATCATTAACCACAAAGGTATGATTGTCTGCGCGCGCGCGTGTGTGTATTTGGTTTGTGTGGATTAAAAAAAAAACAGCTTCTCAATAATTAAGCACTTTATAATGCGCGACGACAAGTCGAGTTCATCGGGGGGCTCGTTCTCGGTCCCTAATGAGCCGTCAATTATTATTGCATTATAGCCGTTGTAAATCATTCGGTTCAAAATCGGTTATTACTATTCTAACCTGGTATACGGTCCTCGTGGCTCTTGCGAGTTGTATATTTTATAGTATAGCTAGTGTGTGCGCTGACATCACGGGGCCGTATCGCATATTATGATCATTGCGCAGCTCTGGGCGGTGTAAAATAAAAATAATAAAAAACAAAACCAGGAAGTATATCCGCGTACCGATAACAGTGGCCCGTGAGCGTTACTTAAAACGGCATTACAACGTTACAATGTACTCGCATTATCATTAATATTATTATTATGTACACCTGCCTACCGTTGTGTTATTATACCTTTGGCGTCCAGGCGGTGTTGCGTTTTATTTATTTATTTTTTATTGCTACACATTTGTTGATATCATGCTAATGAAACGCGCCCCGTTCGCAGTGCCCAAAGAGTAACGGTGCCCGAGGGACCTATAAACAAATGGATGTCAAAAACGGTTTTAAATGATATCGTCGCCGAGGCGTTTTGGATTGTTTCGCGTTGTCGATTTTGCGCAACCCCTAGATAGGTACTTGACGACATTTGATTAAGTCGAGTATGCGTTGAAAATTTGTTTTTCGTTTGGAAATCTGACTCGGGCGCTTTGTCGTCATAATCGTAATATTATCTGTGGCAAATTACTAGACGAGGCGTAGGCAATAAACATAACATAGCTGTGTAACATGTTCTGGTACGCCCTTCCGACGAGTCAACGCAATGGTTTTGTTACATTGGACGAGATACCTTGTTATGGGCATGCACGTAAAATAACATACTATACACTGTACACAGTCTAGTCGACCCACACCGCGGCCGTAACGTTGTTACATTATGTTTTAAAGAAAACAGATCTAAATAAACTGTGTATTCGCCATTAATCATTCGTATGCACGGCGCGGCGTTGCAATTTTAAGCCAAAAGCGTTTTTGACAAAGAAATAAAATAGATATTTTCAATTCGATTTCCATACAACATTATCGTCCTACGCCCATCTAAACAGTAGTTCTGGAAAACATATGTTGTTATAAGAAGTTAAAATAACGTGTAAAGAAATCGTATTGAAATATATAGGTATATTTCAAGTACCCATCACATTAGACATGTCTTTAATTTATACTTTGGTACTGGTGGGCCATGTCCATATTAAAATCATTTCAGATGGCTGCTTAGAAGGGGAAGATAAGTGGTGGAGATTAAGGTCATCTTAGTACTGACTGAATACGATTTTGAGGACTAATTGCCTATAATTTGGTATCGTATGAATGTTATAACCAAAGTAAACTATGTCTAAGCAAACAATATTTTTGCTTACCACCTCGCCACCACTGAAACTGAAAAAAATTTAATCTTGATAAAAAGTTAATAACTTACTATCTGAGCCTACGATGATATAAATAGTATATATATTTGTATTGGTTGTAAGCAATCGGCGTGTAGCATTTTCTTCGGAGTTTCGGCAACTTTCTCAATCAAGTTATTAATCATTTTTTAAGCAGCTATTATATATATATATATACATATATATTATTATAATACCTAGATGATATACTATATTAACCATCCATGGATATCCGAAATGATTGATTCGAGTTGTGTGCACTACAATATTATTTAATATTTACACGGTGAAATGGGTTTCTATGAAATTGGCCATTAAAGTTGCGCCCATCCGACGGACCCTATTTTATCACGCTGTTCATAAATCGATGAAGATGATTTTGTACACGCACACACAGAAACATGTATATTATATGAAGCCTGTATATATATATATATATATATACACAGGCTGTGTATATGTTACGGGCTCCTTTCGCGGTCTTCCCGCACTATTACCACTAGTCGTATTTTCATCATGAACCGATAAAATCTCCCCATATTGTGCGCTATTAACTGCGGGTCTCGCCCCGCCCTCCCTAAGTCTCGAGAAAACTGTTAACGTCTTCGGGACGAGAGCGGACAGACACTGACCAAGATGAGGCTTTGTTTGATTGATGGTTTTCGCGTCTCATGAATTATACATGTGCGGCTATGTAAGCGCGCGCGCGTGTGTGTGTGTGTGATGTAAGTACATAACCCGAGCGAGGTAATGCGAGCGTTATAATTTTTCTTCTCCCTTTTGCTAGTTGCATATAATATAGACTTTATTTACTCAAAATCGGTTTGTCTTGGCTGACCCGTTTTTTACGAGTCGTTTTACCACTACTCGGGACAGCGGACAAAACCAATTAAATGAACCAAAAAAAAAAAATATATACAAAACTATTGTTTCCTTCGGTTTTGATTTATCATATTTTTGCCTGATGATTATTGTGGTATGGATTCGCCATAAGTACTGCGTGTATGTAGTACAGTGAAATACGAAAAATTGCAGTCATCGTACAGTCTTTGTACAACATTTTACTCTATTGAAAGCATATAACGGATACAGACTGCAGTAGTTTATTTATATTAATTTTCATTTAGTTTTTATTTCCGTATTAAAGTCATTCTTGCAGAAAAATTAAATGCGTTGTTTAGAAATGTATACAACATTAAAGAAAAAAAAAATGTACATATAGTTAATATTTTGTTAAGCGTTTGAATTATGATACAAAGAAACTTAGAACTGCTGGACATTTGAACTATTTGAAATACTTGAATAAATAGTACAAAGAAATAAGGTTTACTCTGCCTGGAGTTTCTTTATTAGAGAACCATATTATTATTATAGTTCCTCGCCTTAGGAATTTATAGTAGGTACTCGGATTGTATTTTATATATTTTTTTCCTACCTTACTTTATTTTTATATTTTTTTACTACGCCGACATTTAAAGAAACTATTGGGCGAACGATTTTATGTGAGTCGTACTGGCTTTTTTTTTATGTATTATTGTTGTTCGAAAAATCAAAAAGATTACATTTATGGCGTTATGTTTGGATTTTTACCGTCTTTTTCTTGTGTTGCGTTATTATGTTTGATGTGCTACACACACAAAGCAAACGGCTTTTAAAATGAAAAGTTTTTAGGGAATATTATCTAATATTTTTGCCGAACTCTTGTAATACGTTGATTTTATTTTTTAATTTAATGTTTTTGGAATTTTACAACTATGTTGATGCGGTGTACGCAGCAATAGCCAAGACATTATATTATTCATCTTATTTATATCTATTTGAATAATATAGCGTGAAAAGAGACGTGCACGTGTCAACATATAAAGTCATTACTTCTCTGAAGTTTTGAGAGCGAATATCTTGTTTAACGCGGTATACTCGGCGAAAGATAACGATGGTAAATCGGCGAGAGTTAAATCGTCCAAAATTAGCAACGATTTCACATTGTACGATACAACGTTGCCTGCAAGTTCACTATGTAAAGTGGCATTCCAGTCGGATTATCGTCGACACCAAAACGGAAGCGGATGTTCCTTATCGAAGTCCAATATAAGTTACAATTCGAATTCTGCAAACAAGTTGACTTCTATGTAAAACCGATAAGATTAAAGTCTTCTTTATAATGTCTGTAATAACATCTGATCATAATATTCTACTTGAAAGATCTATTTAACTAAAAAAAGATCTACCGATTTTGTCTGGATTCGTGAGGAAAATATTTAATAAAATAGATTTACATGGAAATACAATAAAAATAAATTTAAAATTTAAGAGTGTAGTTCAAAATGTATAGTAGAGTACATATTATGATTTATGTGTACACCAGTCACTAATTAATTGCGTTTGTATTTTATTTTCTAGAGCTCGAGTCTCGGTCAAGAAGTGTTTGATGTCGTCGTCAGACACTTGAGTATCATAGAGACCGCGTACTTCGGTCTACGGTATCTCGACACCCAAAATCAAACGGTAAGTGCTATTTTGTAAGCTGTCGATAATCTGGGGGGGAAGGAGAGTTCTGTACTACTGTGACCTAAACGCCAATAAGCTTGATCTTCCTATTTTTCTCATCCTATGTTATAATCATGGTGTATAGTACAGTTCTAGTACATGAATTATATTATATTATTATATTTATAATTATTGTATTACTTGTGTTTCAGCATTGGTTGGATTTGTCAAAGAAAATATCGAAACAGATGAAGGGTGAGTGTGATTTATTTTGTTCAATACAACTATGTATGTATAAATAATTCAAAATATGATAAATCCACGATTCCAATTACAACAAACACCTCTCTTTTGCCATTTATCAAAATAACCGTGTGTAACCGCACATGTAGGCATTAGGCATGGAATTGGATTTCTGTGTTTTATAATATACAGAATTCCTCTTGCACACGAGTATACAACTCGGTATGCGGTAAAACAACAGTACTATGAGTTTGCGGCGGCTTATTAACGGCGTTATAGCCCATTAAAACGCTATTGTAGATGCATAAATATTCACTGGGCCGCTACCCTTGTCAGCATCGGCGTTCGTATGTGTATATTATGCGTGCTCGTGCGTGTGCGTAACCAGAGAAATAGGGACCTTTCCGAATGTATGACTTGCAACTCTACCCTTTACCCACGTTATATATTTTGCGCTCGAAATTCAAAAATCACGACACGCGGTACTTTATCGATAAATATTGTAACGAGTGCGTATTGCCGTGTGTCGGTCGATAATATAATATATATATATATACACTGTGCAACATCGTTGCACCCTGTTGGAGAACGCGCCCTCCGGTAACAATGTGTCAATTAACATTTTATTCCGAATAATTTATAGGTCCGCAACGGTTTGATTTTAACACTCGTTTCGATCATATTTCCTCGGATTTATCCGGTCCGAACGGTGCTAAAGTGACAAAATATAATATAATATAATAATAATGATACATATTTTTCGTCCAATTCCCGAAAATAGTCTTTATTCCAGTAACGACGAGATCACGTTGTTTTCCGTTTTTGTTATTGTGCTGTTCTCAGCACAAACACATTTTTCCGAATGATGATATCCACTTGGTCGGAGAAAAAATTAATAATTTTTGCGGATTGTTTAATTTTCCAAGAAGCTTTTCTCCATGGTTATTTATTCATCCATAACAGAACGAGGAAAGCCCAAAAATAAAAAATAATAACGGTTAATAAACACGCTTAAGCTTAACATATAAAAAAAAAAAAAATAATTTATAGTAAGTATTAGTGTTGGCGGTACTTATTACTTAAAATATATTTCAGAGAAAAATAATTGGTACGATAATTTGTAGAGGAGAAACGATAGATGGAACAAAATGGCGAGTGAAAAGTTATGTGATTTAAACATTTATTTTTGTTAATAAATTTAGATAGTCGACTTTTTCAGATATAAGAATAGGTAAGGAAAGATTAGTTGAATGACAAATACAATTATTATGTTTGAATAGTTTAGACTATATTATACAGTTAAGGGTAGTCCTTTTGAAGTGTTGACTTTTAATGAACTTTTTATGATCATGCGTCTCCCCATTCGACATGAAGTAATTTTAGAAAAAACTACGTAGTACATTCCTTACCAGAGGGTTAATTTTTCCAACTTAAAATGTACGTGCAATTATTAATGTTCTTGTGTTAAACTCAAAAAAATATTCTGGTCTGAGAATTGTAGGGCTATTAATACTTTTAGATTATTTATAAGCCAGTAATACAATCCACTTAATTAATTTATTTAACAACCTTTCGTTAACTGCGAAAATTATCAATATTTTGAATAATTTTCATTGAAGATGGGACTATTTTAAAACACATTTTTGGGTAACCCAAAATTATTTTTGAGTATTTTTCATCGTGGTAAAATATGTGTATTCTTTCTAATGAATTAATTTGTGATTATTGTTTTCTCTCCGAGACTATAGTGGAGAGTTCAATGAATTTTTGATAGTTAATTATAAGAAAAAGGGTTGCAATAATTTGGCCGGTGGTTGTAAATCAAAATTCGTGTCAGGTATTACCCGAAAAAGTGAAATGCAAATGATTCGTCGTTAAAAAAACCTCTCCCGGTAGTTCTTAACAAATGATCAGCTACGCGGTGCCCGAGCGACGACTACACCGCAATTTAAGTGTATATTTTTATATATTTTCTTGAGCTTTGAAGTGGCTGTAAAACGTGCTTGTAATTAATTTCACAGCATAAATTACTCTGGTGGTTGGGTATTCGCTTCCTGCGCGGAAATATTAGGTTAGCAGTTTTTTTTTTTATTGACAATAATTTCCATTGCCTCAGTTTCCTATGGTTCGTTTACAAAGAAGGGCAAAAAAAAAACCTTTTATAAGATTTGCGCCATTCTTGTATATTTTTAGTTATTTTCTTCATTAAAACACAACCATTAGGTTTTACATTTTATTATTATGTTTTCCATTGAAAACCAGCTCTCGTCAGCGCGCTCGAGATAAATCGGCTAATTGAAGCTCTTTGCAACCCTTTAGTGTATCATATTTATTACAATGTAGGTTACACGCATAAGTCCTAGCCTATAGCTTATAACTAATGCAGAGTACCGTGGTTTAATCTTTTATAAAATTAAAAAGTAAAAACAAAAAATAAAAAAAATTGAACACATCCATTTACTAATTATTTCTGGTAAATATAATTTTGTTTCAGGTAATGAAAACTTTACATTTTATTTCGGAGTGAAGTTTTACGCAGCTGATCCGTGTAAACTTGTCGAAGAAATCACCAGGTAAGGAATTTATTTGTACACAGCGTTTTTCTCATACTTGATATTAAAAAGGTTGAGTTTAAACTTAAATTTTAATGTCAGTTGTCTGATTTTGTGGGATATTTAAGTAACAGTACTGTTGCTTAGTCCGTCCGATAATTATTAATAATTTATATTTTATTGTAGCTACCTAGCAATGTAAATATTTAATGCTTAGATATTAATCATATAGTTAAACGATAATGTAAAATGTGCATAGTAATATTGTTAGCATTATTTCTGAGTATTTATTTTTTGGCACTGTTTGAACTAATTAGTAATAGCATATTATATTGTATACGAAGAAACGAGTCGAATGTAGGTTTTAAATTATGTTTAACGGCCAATTGTTATTTTATAATTATGTGGTCGAAATTCAGAGTCGACAGTAGGTGTAATGTAGAATGACTATTATTTGCAATATACATAAACAAATTAACAACCAAACCACTTAAAGCGTTGATGCGAGTGTAACGTATCAGAAGAATAAAAGCGTGACAAGTACGCATTTTAATGTCAACATTTGATCACATCACACCGTTTTAATTCTGTTCAAATTTCAATCATATTGATTTTGTGATGACAAACGCATTAGGTTACCGCTATATCCATAATGTAATATACAAATAAATACCTTACCAGATATTACAAATAAAACATTCTTTCCACAGTGCGAGAAATTAGTTTAAATTGGTCAAAAGTACATAATATTCCTAATAGTAATAAGAATATCTTGTATGACTTTTAAATGTTTCATTTCGGTCTTCAGTTTTTAATTCATGGATTGGTTTACAGTAATTTCCATGCTTTGATATTTGTTTGCTATAGCAGACCTCTTTATTTCTTAATACGAATCACTGATACTTGGTCTTTAGTTACCGTTGTCTTATATATTGCAAACGTACTCCTCCTTTGCAATTGGTTCCTTGAACTCTGCTTTCCAAAATTGAGCCTATTAACCCTTAATGTCTGAGTATACGCGCTATTCATTCAAAAGTTCATTATTTTTAGATTGTTCAAATATTTTCTAGTCACGACCAAACAATTAACTTAAGTACTGGAAGACATAACTAAGACGTCATTGAAAACTAACAGCCGGTACTGACAGTTAAAAAAAAGAAATGTAGTAGCGTAAACGGATTTATAAAGTTTAATATTATCGTTCTAGAACAAATACTTACTTTTTGCGTTCAAGTTTATTTTCCAACACAATTAGTTATAAAAATACCGATTAATCATTATGTCGAAAATGTAATATAACTTTTATCGTTCCTTTTAAATTCGAATCGCGAAAGAAAGAAAAGTCAATATTAATTAATCATAAAATAGTGCTGTGTTACTAAACGATTTTAACGAACGATTGCATAAGTCATAAGGGTTAGGTAAATATGTTATAGTCAAATGGTGTCATAACGTTATAATTTGTATGCATAACAAATACTATACAAAATTAGAGTAGTCAAATGTATTCACGTTTTGATTAGATAAGTATTGTGATATTTCTATAGTTTGCATATTTATCGCTATAGCTTTACGATTGTTCCTACGAAAAAAAAAAGTTTTCAGCCTTTTATTTTTTATTCAGAACAAACTAGTCGTTGGCTAAGCCGATTTACTTGTAATAGGCCAACATGAACTATAAAACCCAAGGGCTTCGATCTGTCCGTACCGGCAGCGCGTTTCGGTCGAATCGACAAGGTTTACGTGAACTCGGCGTTTTATGTGATAACACTTATATAAATAAAATAATATTTTGTTAGTGCAAATCGTTCGACCCGATGTGGATTTTTTCTCGGCGAATCGATCACCGTCATATTGGCCTTTCAATTTCACTCAACAACGTCATTGCTGCCAAAATTCACTTACCTTAAAGTATATATTACCATGTACTTTACGTATAATGTACCTTCTAAAGTTGTAATGTTTCGTATAAGAAGTCGAACGACATGGAACGCTCGTTTATAGTATAATATGTGTATACAATAGTCTTAAAGTCATCCTACTTACAAAGTTCTACAAAATCTATAACTTTGTGGATTTTCCCCATTTTTAACTTGTAACTATAACCAAGTTACTTTTTCATCCACGCCTTAATTAGCTATAAACGTTTTTATGCTATTTTTGATTTTAAATTGACAAGTTTTTTTTTATGGTAATTTATTTATTTAAAATTAAATAATTAAGTTACATCTGTTACAAGATGTAATCAAAGTTACAGAACTTTGATTTTTTACCGCCTTAATTTTATTGTTTTAACTTATGCACCTATGAATATAATGTCTTTTTATAACATATATTTGTTGCGCCATCAGAATTGTAACTCTTGCGTGTATACAGAAGCGTCCGTCTAGCCGATCCCAGAAAATGCATTTGCCAGATATATGTCTGGAAGTCATTGGACACTGGCAAGCTATACGCAAAACTTTCCTTCAAGTCCAAGGCCATTTTTTACAGAAAAACAGTCACATAAATGCATCGTTAAGTGCTCGCATCGCCGACAGATACAGTGTATTTTATCTCGTATATGCTGTTGTATTTATTACGTCGAGTAGATGCAGTATATGTTATTTATTATTTGTATACATTATTGTCTTTTTAACGGCGTTAGTGTTCAGCAATCGGCTGCTATACCCTATGGCCTATAGTATTATAAATCGTCTATGGGTAACATTTGTTATGACAATCGAGATTAAAGCAGATTCAACAATTTTTATGGCAAACTACTCGTTAAATGTTTTACTACAGAAATATAAATATTATAAGCCTTTTTATCTGTGCTGTTATTGTACGCGTCAAAAGTGTATAAAAGCAATATTTGTATGTAATCGTTTTCGTTCCATAGTATAATATAATATATAGTAAGAAAAGTATAATATTACTGTTAACAACAGAGCGCATTATATATTGTAAACTTGGAAGCATTTCTTACTAATTAATTTTTGTTCCCGTTCGCATTCTCTCCAATTTGTTTAAATATATATTTTTTTAACACTGTTGTAAAATTAATACAAAATCTTTGTTACATAAAGTTACTAGATGCTCGGTTTTTTGCAAATACACTGTAAAATTCACTTTGATAAATCACGTCTTATTTCGCTGGAAATTCAAAATATTATTTGGTTTTAATATAAAGTTGTTTGTAAGTTTTACCAATATAATTATTGAGTCAATAATTGAACGACCGTTTACATTTTAAATGAATTGACATTAATTAGCGTAACACGGTTGACTTTAATATGTTACTTTGTGCTTTTTGGGATGTGTCCATGCCAGTTGACAAGATACACTAAATAATATAAATAGAATAAAATCCATAAAAACTTTGACCGATTTATGACTTAAAGTGTGTTCAAATGTAAATCATTAATAGTATTTTTTACACAACAATCGGATCGACGTGTATAGTTAAATGAAAAGACACTGACCTGTTATTGATTAGATAATGGGTTGTGCTAGGTAGAACATTTTGGCAGAGAACAATTAAAGCACACGATAATGCCCTAACTTATACGAGACAATAGTACCAATGTCATTTCGTATAGGCATTTTATGTTTACACATATTCCAGTGTGCTGTGTGGTGCTATTTTTTAAAATTATTTCCTAACACAAAACAGGCCTCACTAAAGTCTTATACAAATTTTTTTTTAATCTACCTAATAACTATAGAATTTTTTTAATTAAAAAATCCGAATATCTCACAACTCCGTAGCGTTTCTAATGTACACATTTTAGGACGTATTCTGGCCTATACTAGTGGGCTTAATCCCTATCCCTCCATTCAGTCCGGGTCTAGAAACATAATATGTTTTTTTTAGTCAACGAGAGGCAAGGCGGCGTAGTGCTACTAATGGAAGTCAGACAGACGCGGTCGTTGTGATTTTTTAACATTCAACGAGATTGTCAGTGTATCGATCAACGCTATCCGACTTTGGACGGCTAGAAATTAATGATACCGACTTCCTTATCCGCGTTTGTCGCATGATCATTCGTGGCACGTCATAGGGCTTACTCATTTGGAATTCTTCGGCCACCTTATACGTTCTATTGCGGCTGTTTCGCAGTACTAACCAGATGGAAATATATATATAGAGAGAAGAGCTTTTGTGTCTGGCTCATTAAACTCGGTCGAGATGATTTTGCGATGCGTTTTCTATTCTTTATTTTTTTTTTTTTTTTTATGATTATTATATATATTTTTTTGCGGTTCACTACACACAAATCACGTACACCCCATGTGGCGATATAGGTGGGCGGCGAGCCATTATTCGAGCTATTCGCCACTATCAGAAGAGCCCACACGATAAAAAAAAAAACCACTTATAACTGATTTTTGCTCGACCCGAGCACAAAGAGCGTGCCCTGGTTTTTATGGCGAATTTATCCCAACTCGAACCTCATAACATGTATACGAATCGTTTTAGCCTACTAAATATAAAAAAAATAATAGAATAAAAATAGTTACGAATATGTTCATAACTTCCTAGGCACTATTTAGAAAATATTTTAAGAAAAAAAGTTCAAGCTTAGAGAATATCCATTAGCTTTACGGACAATCTCAGTTTCCTCGGGGGTTTTTTTTGTCGGTATTTTATTTTTATACAATTTAAGAAAAAGTGCCATCCGGTGCTATTCGTTGGCTGGTTGTTTGAAGAGTTAACAACAACTATATGATCGACCCGTTATTGACTTTTAATGGGCCGTTAACAAAGTTTTGAACATAATGCACAACCGAGATGGTATATAGTTACCTACCGGTTTATTTGAAAAATACAACTTTGTGTTGACATTGTGTAGTAGAGAAAATCGTGTAACTTTAATATTAACGAGATTTAACATTTTCAACGAAAAAATAAAAGCTTCTCAATTTTCAAAGTTCATAATAATACTAATTATACAACGAGTACTTTGATAGCTAAAAACAATACACGTTTAAGGGCCGCTCGCACCAATTTATTGTTTTGTAAACTTCATATTATAAGA